GTCTACTGTTTGTTTCTGTTACTATCGTTCTTGTTACATTAAAACGGTTACAGTTACCTCAGACGCCTCTGATTCTTCTTGTAGCGATCTAACAGAGAGTTGGAAAGGAGTTGGACATCATTTGGCACAAAATCCGCAGCCTCTCTGGTAGAGAACCTGCCTCTCCCCCCCCCCCCCAAGGTCCCCGGTTCCGCTGCTGAACAGCTTTAACCACTAGGCCAGCGTTCCTGATCCTTCTCCTTGGAGCAATGGAGCAATTCAGTTCTGTCCCATCATCTACCTGACCGCTGACCCCGTGTCCACGCAGTCTTTCCTTCCGTTAGCTAAAGAGACCTCTGTCTTCCTGGGCCAAGAATTAAAAGTTCCCTTCTGAAGTCTTCACCACCGGCCTTAATCTCAGGGTCGCCCAGCAGGAGTGTTGGGAGTCCAGGAAAAACAAACTATCCGAGGTTCCATGCAGACAAATCCAAGATCCGGGAATCAGAGCGGAGACTCACACCAGGCCAACGGTCTGCCAGAGGATAAGGAAGAAGGCGGGCCCAAGGGTGGAGAGTGGGTTGCCCACCCGAGGTTGCCTCCCAAGCCCTGGGTTTATAACCCTGACTCCAGCATGCCGGTTCCCACGGAGGAGCCTCCGTGCTCATACGTTTCTCTTCGTGCAGAGGCTGCGGTGGGATTTTCTCCTCGGGCTCTGCATCGTCTTCTGCAAGGGGAGACTTTTCATCCTTCAGGAAGCCCTCTGACCTCCCCTTGCCAGTGTCTGAGAGCCCCTTGGATCCTCAGGTCACACACACACACCCCCCCCGTCCACACCAGGAGTGGTGTGACTCCTGACAACCTCCAGCTAAGTGTACCAAGAAAGATGCCCTCACGTATTTTGCCTTCATTATCACCCCAGTTCCTCTCCCTGGACCAGCCCCGTTTCCTAAAATCCTTGTTCTAACGCAGCCCTCGGAATCAGAGACCATATTCTATTCCGATCAAAAGAAGACTAGACAGGGATGATGACTTGTCTTGATTCTGGCAGCCCAGCTCTCTCGGTCGAGCCCAGGACTGTCCCCGGGGGGGGGTTGGGGGTTTGCTTCTCCTTCTGTTGCATCAGGTTCAGGTCGTGACCTGAAAGGAAACTCGCTCCGTCCCCTTCCACCTCTGGCCCAGCCAGCAGACCAGGCAGCTCCCATTGCTTCAACATACGTATATCAAAGCATACATTATTTATCTTCCTTTGTTCACTTCAAAATATAAACTATGGTGGATGCCACACAATCACTCATGGAATTTAGAAAGTACTTCAGACTGATTCTGTAAACTGTTATGATTGACAGCTAGCCAAAAGGTTTCTATCCTGGCAAGTACTCAATACCAAGGCATGGATGTAGTCATTCTGAGTCATTTTCAAGAGTTTCTATGTCTTGCAGGGAAAATCATTAGCGGGAGGGGGACATTTATAATCAATTAGTTTCTGGCTTTATATGTAGTACGAACTCATCTTGCATTCTCTATGTGGAAAATATTTAGCAATTAAGCACCAGCAATCAAGAAAAAGCACTGCTTTATGGAAGAACTGTAAATTTATTTTTGGGCCGTCTGTATATTTGTGCAAAAGAAAGTTAGCCAAGTAACTTTCTTCAAGTAGAAGATGAATTTATCCTTGATAGAATACATTTGTTGGCTCAATATTTTGCTGGTGAGTTTGCAAGATATTTAACTCCATACTCTTTGGCAAAGAGAAAGTGAAGATTGGTGAATCTAGAATATGTGTCAGGCAGGACTATGAATAGATTGGTCTGATTCCCATCAGTAAAATAAAATCATGCACGTAGATAGAGTTATTTATATCTATATATATATATTTCAAAACGTTTGCATATCACGAAAGCAATACACATCCAAATACATTTACATCAGATGCCTACCATAACAATACAAAATGATATTTTTTGCCCATCCCATGCCAAACCTCTGGAGGCGGGAATCTGGAGAAGATACTTCCAGATGTTCTCTATAAATCAACACACACATACACACACACGCATACACACACACACACACATTTCCAAGAAGAGCTGAGAAAACTGATTTTGTCACAACTGAAACTGATTAATTTAGCCCTGTGAACCTGGATTAAGATTTTCAGATTTTTAGAACACTCTGATGGGACATATAATTTGGCATTATTTTTCCTCTGTTAATATTTTGTATTTATTTTTTGTCTGTTAGTTCAGATTCTTCTTTGCTCAGTTTATTAGCAGATCCTACAAGAGTTCATTGGCTCCCGTTGCACTTAGAGTTCATCACTGTATGAAGGGGAAGCTGCCGTGTTCCTCCCCTGCTTGCTGTATGCTCATTGGTTGAGTATCCAGGTGCAGAATTAGATAAATGCCCAAATGTACATTAATAATACTTATTCCTCTAAGCCATCCACCTAAAGAACATACATCCATGTAATATTTATTCCTCTAAGCCAAACCATGAGTAAGCTGGGAGACCATATAAATTGCGTAGATGGGAGTGGGGGGGGGGGAGAATGGGAGAGAGACTAGATTGGATGGATGGATGGATAATAGGAGTGATTAAATATTGCTTCTACTACATAGACATTTTTGTCATCCCATACTGGAGTCAAATGCTAGTTTCCAATGTTAGTTCTTGATCATCAAAAGAAACCCACCAACTGGGCTCATGTAACAAAGCAGAATTTTGCAGCTTAGTTGTGGCAACGTGGAGATGGTGCAGAAACCGAAGGCCGAACTCTGCCACTGGGCAAGGGGGCATCTTGAATGATGAAATGAAAGGGAGGAGGGACTCCTGTTCCTCCCAGGGCAGCATAATCAAGCATTCCGGTGGGTATTATGAATGGATTTGCGTTTAGTGGCACTTATAACAAAGGAGAGAGGTTTGCTCCTTCATTACGCAAAGTGCTCCATGCAGGGAAGAAGGATGGTTTGGTGCATAATTTTGCCTTATTAATCCGTCCAACCTTCGACTGCAGTTGTCTAGAGCAGGGTGCTTGTTTTTAACCTTAGCGAGTTTAAGATCTGCAGACTTCAACTCCAGCCTTCGCCAGTAACGCCAATAGCAATAACAACCCTTCGAAGTAGGAGAAGCCTTCTGAAAAGCAAGCATTGCATTTGATGAGAAACCAGCTTCTAAACGGAGCCCCGTTTTCTTGCAGATTCACTGGCCCAGCAGCTCCCAGCAGGTGGAAGAATGCACCATCAAAGGGAGATCTACGGTTTGTCTTCTCTTTGGATTTTTGCCTGCTAGTTAGAGTCCAACCTTTGAGCCTCTGAGGCTGGGGAAGAGCTTCTGTCCGAGGTGGGGCGGAAGAGCTGGTTCTCCTTTCAGCTGAAGGTTTGGGTTATTTAACTGCTAAAAACAACATAGGGAAACGGCAGAGATTCGTCTCTAGGAAGCTTAACAAATGGGGTAACTGTGAATGTCCATTTGGGTCCTTTGCTCCCATCTCTGCATCGGTGATCTTGCACCAAGCGTCCGATAGAGATGCTGGCTCTCCTTCCTTTGGTGCCTATTCCCTACTCCCCCCCCCCCCCGTGAGACTCAGGGAAGGGATCCAGCTCCCCTTTCTCCATTGGCTGAGGGGTCACGAACAGACAATGACCTCCCACGGCTGAGGGTGGATTTCCGTCAGGGATTCCCCTTCAGCACCTGGATTGCTACAGCAACACATTGCTTTGTATCCCTTCTCCCCCCCCCCCCCCTTCTAATCTCCTGAAGCAGATTGACAGCAGAGGGATTAAAAACAGGCAGCACAGCCTGGAATCGGTTCCTCTTCTTGACTAGCCAGCTCCAGATTACTCAGGAAGCCCCAGACCAGATCCATGAATCGTGTCCCTTAGCCAGCCAACTGACAAGGGGGGGACAGCAGCTGCCCTCCGCCTGTCTTGGGAGAGTTGCAAAGGGGTCTTGAAGTCCCTCAAACCAGGCCAATATTGTCCCGGCAGTGGAGGAGTGTCGGCACTGACTCTTGCAGTTCTGCTGTTTGCCCCCGAGGGCTTTTAACGCAGGCTTTGACTCCGACTGGCATCGTGCCTTTCTATAAGCTTGGCCCAAACTGAAAACTTCACGGTATCACTGGAATAGAATTGCTTTAAAATATACCCGTTTTACCTGGGTGCTTTTACTTCCCTCTGTAGGAGGAATGTGCAAATCACATCTGTGCTTTACACCGATACAACCGAACACACCTGCTGGCCTGTGGAACGGGAGCCTTCGACCCCGTCTGCGCCTTCGTCAGAGCCGGCCATCAGTCGGAGGTAAGGGATGCCCACACACACACACAGACACCGTGGGACCGTGTGTGGGGGATCTGTTTCCCTGCGGGATGGAAAACGTGGAAGGGATCCCCACTCAGCCAAGTGTCTCAGAAAGACAGACCGGTTCCTGCAGGCTGGGTGTTTATGTCTGGGAAGAAAGCCCCGCAGGGGAAGGGTGGGGAGAGGTGGAGTGGGGCCTGAAATATCAGAAAAGTTGAAGAAAACCGATGGAGACCCCTGCTCTGCTTCAGTCGGAGGATATTAGATTTGTCTTGGCGTCCTTTATGTTTGGAAAGGCCGTTTCCTGCCACTGCCGTATTGCTGAATGGTTTCTATTCTGAGCCAGTTTTCACTGTGGTGCCTCCTGTTTTGCCATCCAACGGAAGAAAATTTTATTTATGGTTGCATTTTTTTTCCTTGCGAGGGGGAAATGCAACCAGCCAGATGCATCGTTCAAGAGAGTCCTGGTGCTTAATTAAGAAAAAACAAAATTGTGAACGCCTTTTGACTTACTGTAGGTCTCGACAGTCATCTGATCATTATTACCGCTTACAAAAATAACCTGTGCAATAATTGTATACGTCTCTATTTATTACGAGATCACATATGGCGTATGGCTCAGAGCGAGACTGATATGGTTCTCATTTTAATGTAGCCTTCTCTAACTCATATCTACAAAGTAATACATGGATTGGACTGCGATTCCCCTTCAGTTTCCACATTTTTCTTTAGGTGTGTCTTCTACAAAAGCTATTTATGATGCCTCGAAGCTAGCTGAGTTAAAATGTTTGCTAAATCCCTAACATTTATCCCGTGTGAGGACTGTCCCCCCCCCCCTGCTTTCCAAACTGCCCTTCTAACCAGGGATTTCTTAGTTACCAACCACAGTGAATTCTACATGATTTGATTGTGTTATCACACTTTTCCTGATAATAAGCTAGAAGAAACAGATTTGGGGAAAGCATAACCAGAATTAGTTGGCATCCATGTTAAATTGCGCGAGAGAGACATAGGATTAACCCGCAACTAATTTTCCTTAGCCACAACTGCCAATGCAAAAAAGAGCATAATTCATGAATAATTTATCTGCGAAATATTTTGAAAAGGATCTTTTATTTTTTAAGGTTTTGGAAAAACTCCTAGTTGCTTGGAGCGCAATCCAGGGGTGATATTTAAATTAATGTAGAAATGCTTCATGCGGATCATGTATTTTTGTCAGCAGTTATTCCGTGGTTTGAAAGCCCGGTCTGAATTGGAGACATAATTGTAAAAATGCCATTTATGTTTATGCCTGCACCCTTAATCTGAATAGATCTTATTCCTAGGTTATGGATGCATGCTTACTCTTAAGTAAACTGTGAGAATGCCTTCCCCTGCCACTATAAGGCTGCCCTTGGCTCCTAGTTGTAGGTGGTCAGCAGTGATAAAGGCTTGTGTAGGTAAAACTCTGCACTCCCTCGTGTGGGGCAAAATTAAAGAAACGGTTCCATGGGTTAGCATTACGGGACTAATCCCTCAGGCAATCCAAGATAAACGTTACAGGTCCAAATCCTTGGGGGGGTCAAACGTGCGTGTCTGGGTATTAAAAGCGAAGAGAAAGCCGTCTTCGACTCAACCCCTGTGAGCAGCTGGGCAGTTTTCTTAGAACAGTGACGCAGAAATTGTCCACCGTGATTCTTCCACTTTCCATCTCGTCTCTTTCCTTGAGATGCCACTGAAGCTTTGACCAGGCCTGACCTTCGCCATTTCAAAGGCCCCGGAAGGCCTGCCAGGTGCTGCCCTCTGCTTCTCAGATCAGATGAATATGTCAGCAAACAGAGAAGTATAGTGCAATTATCTCCTGTCCAGATAATATTTTGCTATTCTTCGGAATACGTTTTGCTTCTATAAAATTCCTGGTTTGCCAACTGGAACTTCCAGGTGTATTCGGCACAGTTATTCTCCGAGTAAAACTCCCTGGTAACGAGACACGCCTGCTTAATGGCGCTCGATGTCACCCACACTCTTTGTAACGTCACACCATGCCGCACCTCAGACATTGTGGCCCAGCAGTGCTTATTCTTATTTTGTAGGGAAGAAAAACATGAAGACACCCAGATAATAACCCTGGCTATATAATCAAATTAATGAGCGTGTGAGAGCAAATTTGAGTGGGAAGAACTGAGGCGGTGGCTGATCCCAGCCGAACAGAAGGATGGGCTGACGGTGTGCCAGCTCGGCTTTAAAGGCAGGCAGGTGGGACGAAGGTTGGAGGTCCAGCATTGGTCCCGCCTGTCTGCCCACCTGTCTGTGTGAGCTGATACACTGGGAGCGCCAGATGTCTCCACTGTGCCTGGACGTACCGTATTTCTTCAGCTCTTCCCTTCTTGTTGTGCTTGGGCTTTGGCCTCAGGTGAGGCTCCTTAGGAGGAAACGGGTAGAGAACAGGCTGGCGTCTTGCCCTGCTGTCCTTCGGCTGGTCCAGGGACTCTGCTCGCTTTGCCCAGCCGGAGGGCCTTGGCCTTCAGGGCGAAAGCGGGCAGGGCTCCCCCTCTGGCGGCCGTTTCCTGCACTGCTCTCTTGCCCCTGTGCTCAGTCAAGGCCAGGCCCAAAGCCAGTCAGGTCATTTGGGGGTGGGGGGTGGGACCCGGAGCCCCCCTCCATGAAAGGGACTAACCTGCAGGCCTTCTTCCTCCCTGGTATCCCAAGGGGGCTGCCTGAGACTCTCGTAGGGGATGATGGGCTGGAGAGAGAGCCAACGCAGACCCTCTCCAGGTGACCTTCTGACCAAACACCTTCAGGGACCGTCTGTGTGTGGGGATTCACCGACAAAAGGGCGAACGACAAAACCGGGCCCGACTAAACCGCGTCGCTGATGTCATCAACAGGGCGACAACAGCGCGGAGACAGAAGCATGCTGTAAACCCTAAACCTAAACTTAATCCCTAACCCTAACCCTAACCCT